AACAATAAAATACAAATCCCACATGGTTTAACCACTAATACCTTGGCTCAAGTCTTACTTGACCCTTGTTTCCTTACAATAGGTGTAACATCCCGACTCCCAGGTATAATATTTAATTAATTTGTATTCGTGTAATTTCTAGAGTCTACTCGACGAGTTGGAGGACCCCAACTCGACGAGTAGGAGCTGAGTTTGAAAACCCTAATTTTCAGGGGTTGTGTCCTATTTAAAGGACCTTAAGCCTTCATTTCCGCCTCCCTTGTCATCTTAACACTCTGAGAGAAACCCTAATTAAGCTATATGCTTGTAGGAGAGAAATAGGGGATAATATTGCATATTGTAGTGCATTTTTTGGAAGAAGATTGAGGAGAAAAAGGCTTGGGACGAGAAGGAGCTCTTGGATCCATCAATAAGATTGTGTTCCGATCTTTATCAAAAACTTCATCATTTATTGGTTTTTGTCTTGCCAAAAACTAATGCATTCTGGAAGCCGCAAATAGACTAAAATGTAATAATGACAATTGTTGTGATGTTACATTTAAGTCATAATGACAATTGGTGTGATATTACAATAATTGTCATTATTACGTTTTAGTCTATTTGGGGCTTCCAAAATGCTTTACTTTTTGACAAAAAAAAAACCAATAAATGATGAACCATGTGGGATTCATCTTATGTTGGGGCTTCTATAATGTTGTAAGGAAACAAGGGTCAAGTAAGACTTGAGCCAATGTATCAGTGGTTAAACATGTGAGATTCGTCTTCTATTGTTAACAGCATTATGGACAACGCCATTAGTGTATGGGTTCAAGTCATGGTTAGGTAATCGGAACATCCAAATGTTGGAACCATGGTTTAAGTCATGGTTAGATAATAGGGACATCCATGTAATCAACAAGGATTTTCTCCATTCTTTATTTGGAGATTGAAAGATGATCATAGAGTTGTGAATATATAATTTTGGAAATTTGATGGAGTTAACGAGGCTTGTGAGTGAGAGTTTTGTTGTTGGGTTTGATGACACCGATAAAAACACACGGTGAGCCTAGAAGAGCATAAGAAAGAAGATATGGAATAGTACATATTAAATTAGATCATATAATATAATATATATTAGTTTAAAGGTAATCTTCAAAGAAGTCCAAATATTTTGGTTTATTGGTAATAAATAATGAAAAAACCCTAAAATTTTGATTAATTAATGAAAAAACCCCAAAATTTGGATTAATTAACGAAAAAAGATGAGATACCGGCTAAATTTGTGAAACCGGCCACGAAGGGCTAATCCGAAGTTTTAGCCGGTAATCTGTCCTTTTTTGTAAACAAAATTTAATTTGGGACTAAATCGTAAACTGGCCTAAAATATTGGGACTTTTTCGCAGATTTCCCTATAATAAATATATAATAAAAATAAATTCAAAACTAGCCGACAGAGTCTAAATGAAAGTTGTAGATCTTGTTTTTACCTACGCGTGCATATAAAGAACGTCGAAAACGGAGCTCGTATGCGAAAGTAGTGAATTTCTGAAGTTCAGGGCGTGAACCCAAAGGTTGTGTCAGAGCTCACGAGGTGAGCATTAGTGGCTCACGAGGTGAATAGATGATGGACTTCTTCCAGGGCAATTGTCCATAACGAACGCAATAACGTATCAAGCTCACGAGGTGAGCCTAACGCATAATTATGAAGTACTTTATATGAAATACGTGTTATGTGTATATTTTGTTGTTATATGTTTGAATGTATAATCACTTTCTTCTATCTCATAGATATGATTTATTCTCTATGAAATACATGTAATGTGTATGTGTCTCATCTGTTGTTTGGAATATGTATTGAATGAGAATGCTATACAGGTTTTAAACTATGTATAAAAATATATATTTTTATCTACTAATATGTTGGGTATAACATGGGTAGATAGTTTATGTGTGATAAACAGATGAGAGGTCTCGATGTTGTTGTTGTTGATCTAGATATTCAGTGGAGTATGGATAACGACCACGGACACTTTCTAGGCAGTCTTGTGGAACACTAGCAGGTTCATAACATGTAGTTGTTGTGAACGATGTGTTCACCGGTGTACTCTATCCCCCTCATGGTTGCCTTTAGGACATCTATTGTTGAGGAAACCCCTTGTAGTAATGTCCATCCCGGTGAAAAATCCTAGATTAGGTCTCTTGTAATAGATGTTGTTTTAAAGACGTAAAGTGAGGATAACGGAAATGGGTAATCGGGTTATTGTTGGTTGATGAAATTATGTATAATTATTTATTGTGGGTTGAAAACCCTATATGCTCACCAAGCTCCCAAGCCTAACCCACTCAGTTTATTTGTATTACAGATAGTGGCACGAGGGCATAAGATGGATGAATCATCAAGTTATTTTGTTTATTAGACCAGTTGTTATATGTAATTGTTGTATGGTCTATCTTTTGTTGTTTATGATTTTGTGTCTGTATCGGAATATGACATCCCGAGTTTTGATTATATAATGAAAATACATTTCTTTATGAAATACTTTGGTAAATATTATTTTTATCATATTTTGTTTTTGAGAACAAATTCCAAAACTCTTTTAAATCAACAAATTTACTCTGAAATTATTTTAAAAGCATAAATGAAACCGGTCTTTTCTGGCCGTGATTTTGGGGATGTCACAGTTGCGTTGAATGACTAATCTATGTAATTATTAGTGAAATATTTTGATACTAAAAGCTAACGACTTGTCCAAGTGGAAAACTGTTTGAAATAATGTTTAATGTCATTAATTATTTGGTGATATTTTTAATAATAGTAGGGTCATTTTAGGATAGCATCATAACTCAACTAGCAATAAGGAAATGCATATAAATAAGTTATCGGTTTACTATGTTCTTAATAAATTAATTACAAAATATTTTGGAATTAATTAAACTTCTTTAATTAATCAAAGATATTGAAAATGACAGGATTTGAAATCCTTGGAGCCTTATGTTGGACGGTTTATATATAACAGGTTTTGAATATAAGATAAAGATAAACTCTTAGAGTTTGAAACCCATTAGGATTTATCTGCACCCTATAAAAAGATTGTTAAGGGTTAAACCCTAGGTGTTGATCCACTCTCATAAAATCCTCCAACCTCTCTCTCTCTCTCTCTCTCTCTCTCTCTCTCTCTCTCTCTCTCTCTCTCTCCGTATACAAAATTCATAACCTCTCTCCTAGAGTTAGTGAATTTCAACTAAAATCTAAACTAGGGTTTTATCTTTTCCGCTTTTGGTGTTTATAGGTCTGACTACATTAGTGGCATTCTACTTTGGCTCCTTATCTATTGCAATCATTGACTGTTATGAGATCTCAATCAAAGAACCAACAGACTGGTATGTTTTTCCTTAGTTACTTTTTAAAGTTCATTGATAGAACTAGTAAAACCTAGATTTTAGGGTGCATGTATACTTAGGTAGATTTTGATTGCTTTTGCTACGTTTAATTTGTGTATTGATGTTAATAAAAGCAAACACATCTAACTAACAAGCTACAATGTTATTTTTTTTGTCACAAATTAATGTTTATAAACATTATCACTGCATAGTTTTGGAAGCGTTCTTTCGGTTGGCTCGAAGATTCAAATCTCCATCCAAAAATTGGTTTCATTAGCTTCAAATGTTGGTTAGAATCATGAACATGCAATTACGTTTTTTAGAATTTTTCATGACCCTAATTACATCAAATTCAACTATATCTTCATTGATATAACTAGTAAAACCTAGATTTTAGGGTGCATGTATACTTAGGTAGATTTTGATTGCTTTTGTTACGTTTAATTTTTGTATTGATGTTATAAAAGCCAACACATCTAACTAACAAGCTACAAGGTTATTTTTTTGTCACAAATTAATGTTTATAAACATTATCACTGCATAGTTTTGGAAGCATTCTTTCGGTTGGCTCGAAGATTCAAATCTCCATCCAAAAAATTGGTTTCATTAGCTTCCAATGTTGGTTAGGATCATGAACATGCAATTACGTTTTTTAGAATTTTTCATGACCCTAAGTACATCAAATTCAACTATATCTTCATTGGCTTCCCACTAGGACAAAGTTTACTAAAAATATGTCATTCATTTTGTTATCAAACAATGGATTTACGACACCATCTTTTTGCATATGCTCGAAGGTAATGTTTGTACTAAAGTGGAATACTCTTGCTCATCGTCTTCTTCATATAATATGACCATTTCATAGGTAGTACTCAATAAATATTCCAGTCAAATAGGGCTCTGTTGCACATAAATTGATATTGTACTTCTAATTATATAACCGTAGTCAGCAAATTAAATGTAATACAAACCATTTTCCAGAATTTATTACCTAATTACACAATTATTATATTATTGGTTATGTTGTACAATGGATTATATATAATAAATGATGTATGTATTAAAAAAATTGTTATGGTAATGGTAGTGATCGACTGAATAGGTCAAAGGTTTAACCAACATAATTAGTATCTTACAAAGAAAAGCCCGTTGACAAATACGTCTGTAGACGTTGTTTCCAATTACCCTTTGTAGTTATTATGTTGGTGTCAATGTTGTCTTTTGCAATTTAGTATATATATATGTATGGCCCACTTGATTGAATACAACAATCTAAACATGTTTTAAAATTTTCTGTCTAACCAAATCATAATAAATTGGAACGATGTTTTGGTTGGTGATCTTACATAAGGGACTACGATTACGCTATTAATCTCTGTTTTTGCTCATCTCATGAAACATATTTAATACAAAATCGGTATTTTTCTTGGATTAATTATGTTTAAAGCTTAATTTAGTGACTTTCTGCAAATCAAAATCAAACACGAAGACTATTTAATAGTCACAGGTTCATCTCAGCAATCTAAAGTTGTGTTTGAAAGTGATTTCTTGGACTTTTAGGTTGTTTTTATGTCGTTATTGGAAAAGATCATCATGATATTTCTTGTAATTTTAGTGGTGAGGTCCAAATTTTGATTTTTCTTGCAAGTTGAGTTTTGCGAGTTTCTATTGGACCAATCTTTTATAATGTGGCTTCTGGAATGGTGAATTCATTTAAATAAATTTCATATCCAACTGTTTGTTTTATAAACTTCGCATCTTTCATCCACGCTTTTAACAATTAATTCTTTGGAAGCATGAAAACTCGAAGAGGGAAACGATCTGAGGTACATTTTGAGTAATCTTTAGTGCTTTTCTTGATGATTTTTTGGTTATTTGAGTGACGAATGCATGTTTTTGTAGGCATTTTGGCCATCGATTGTGATGAAAAAATGGTTGAATATTCAACCAAAGAATAATGATTTTAGTGAAGACGAAATCGATACAGAAACTGAAAGTGAAGATGATGATGGTGAGGATGAGAATATGATTTATGTTATATATATTTATATGAGGGAGTGAAGCGAATCCCTTTCCGGTCTTTATACATGGAATATAACTGCAATTTAGATCTTATTTACATTGTACTCTCCGTCTTAGTCCCATTATTTCTAATTAATACATTCAATATCTAGTACAACCTAATCACAACAAACCTTGCTTCAAGCTTTTAGTTATCGTTGTTTAAACTTTTTGCAGCTTGCTCTCTTAAAGACGAACAGATGGATTTCAAGGATGAGAATTCTCCTAGAATGCAGAGGAACATGTCTGCATGCTCGATTCACACCTCAACTGGTAATCATTTCGTTTTTTATGTAAAATGATTAGTCTTAAACAAGGAATTGATGTTTCAGATCAAAAAAAAAAAAAAATACTACCATCTTATCTGATACAAATTCCGTTGCTAGCATATTTACTAGGCCCCGTTTCTTGATGATTGCATCTTTAAATTGTATGTTGACGTTTGAAGTAATTAAGTAGAAAAATTGTCCTTTCTTGTTTCCTGGAGATTTGCCTTCTTAAATTGGCGTTTATCATTTGGTGCTTTCATCGTCGCAAACCTTGACGAAGCATCCACTTTTTAAGACCAACTCCAAGCGCTCAACCTGACACACTTAAATTGACTGCTTGTTACAAGCCACAAACTAGCTACTTTGAGTACGTACCATGCATGCGACTCCGCCACCACAATAGTTTTCTATTTTATTAATTAATTACCAGCAAAGCTTTGAAACATTTGGCTAACAAATTAACAAATGCTTGGTACATGGCCATAATTTTTGGAATTGCGTCTTGTCTCGTCCACATACGTTAATTCTTCAAGCTTAAGAAAACTTCCACCGTTTCTGCCTACCAAGCCGACTTGGAGAAGAATAACAATTGCTTAATTTGAGATGATATTCAAAACAAAATCGCACTCCACAAACCTAGATTGGACCATTTATGGAGTTGTGAATCTCACCCAAGACAAGCTCTATGCTCAGCTTCCACCTCCCACCTCAGTCCCGATGGTTCCCTCGAGCCTCTACAAATGAAACCATCACCCCTTCGGTTAAGCCCAACTGAGATGAAAAAGCAACAAGCCAAACATCTTTTCTACAATTGCCCCCTAAAATACCAAGTCACCAATACAACCCACCAAAGTTTCTCCTTCTTCAATCAGAACCATGGCCTTCCATAGACATGATCTCGTCCTTGAGGACAAGGGCATTTTTCTACAAGTCTACTTTAGCACTAGGTGAAGCATATCTAAATTGTATCTTCACATTTGGAGTAATTAAGCAAAAAATTGTTGCAAAAAAACGTCTCTTGTTCCTTTCTTATTTATTGCAAATTTTGTTTGAATAACATGCTAAGGACTTTACACATTTTTATTAGAGTAAATTACTGAAATCGTCCCTATAGTTTAATCAAAATTACACGTTTGGTCCCTAACATTTCTTTTGCACTCGGATCGTCCCTATAGTTTGATTTTGTTGTGTTTTTGTCTCTTTCATACATAAAGTTAGGGATCAAATGTGCAATTTTGATCAAACCATAGGGACGAAAAACGCAACAAAATCAAACCATAGGAACGATCCGAGTGCAAAATAAAAATTAGGGATCAAACGTATAATTTTAATTAAACCATAGGGACGATTTCAGTAATTTACTCTTTTTATTATATAGTTCTAAGCATGTTTTCATGCTTGTACATTATTAGTGAAGCCTACAAAGACGTTGGTAAACCACAAGAGGGGGAAATCGGAGGATGTTCATAATATTAAAAGAAAAGATGTGAGGTTTGGCTCTAAATATGATAAATTGCTTGTTGCATCCAAAAACGTAATCACGGTTATTATAAATTTATTTTAGAATGTTGTAACGCCCCTGTCTTATAGGATAATGATCGGGACTTGGAATGTTGCGGGAAGGCTTCCCGTTGATTGCCTTGATATCGACGATTGGCTTTGTAAGGATGAACCAGCTGACATATATATTCTCGGGTGATTTTACTTTTCGGATAACTAGCGTTTTTTCTATGGTAGTTTTGTACCTTTTTGTTCCTTTCTTATAGAAAATTTTACTATCTGTTCAAGTAATGATTTTAATTGGATCAATTAATTAAAGAGCGATCATTGATTTTTTTTTTTTTAAATAAGTTATTCAATTTGTTCGGAACAAACCAAATTTATTGTGAAAAAGATAACAACTCACTGTTTAAATGTTTTTATCTGCTATCACAAGTTAATGGGTCAATGTTTTTATCTACTACTACAAGAAATTAAATGTTTTTTTTTATCTACTATTACAAAAGAAACTATTTATAGTCTTTTTGACCAAGTTTGAAACTTTGTTGTAAATTTGGTCTAGATTTTTTTTAAAAAATTCCGTCCCAAACTTTACTTTCAAATTTGTTTATATAAATATTTAAAAAAAAAAAAATTAGATATTTTGCACAAATACTTTATAAAAATTTTACAACCTTTTTTAAACTTCTTTTACAAAGTTTTTAACAAATAATTTCACACCCTCTGTAAAAAAATAAAAGAACAATTTTTGCTGCATTTTTGACAAGTTTTCTCTAAAAAAATTATACGATCTTTAAGACTTTTTTACAATATTTTTTACTTTTCTACCAACATTTTAAAACTAAGTTACAATCTTTTATTATTTTTTTTACAACATTAGAATATTGAAAAAATTTAGAGTAAATTACTAAAATCGTCCCTTTTGTTTGGTCAAAATTGCACGTTTGGTCCCTAATTTTTTTCTTGCATTCGGATCGTCCCTGTAATTTGATTTTGTTGCGTTTTCCGTCCATTACATACATAAAATTAGGGACCAAATGTGTAATTTTGACCAAACCATAGGGACGATCCAAATGCAAAAAAAAAATTAGATATCAAATGTGCAATTTTGACCAAACCATAGGGACAATTTCAGTAATTTACTCAAAAATATAATATCTTTTAAAGGTTTGAAAAGTCATAAAAACATAAAAACATAAGGAAAAAGGTTTTGAAATGTAAGTTATACAAATCTTTTTGAAGCTTTAAAAAAAAAAGACGCATCATTTTAGACATTTTTACTTGCGTTTCCTACACTTAAAATATTTTTCATATGTTTTTCCAACTTTCTTTGATTCTAAAAAAGTTTTAGAAAAAAAAAACATGTAAAAAGATAATAAAAAAGTTTTAAAAATTGTATAAAAAGTTATAAGAAATTTAAAAACGTTGTAAAAAAGTTATAAAAAGTAATAAAAGAGCTGTAAAAATATAAAAGGATTTGTAAAAAATCTATAAAAAAATTGTGCGCCATAAGTCTTCAAGAAAAGTCATAAAAAGTTTAAAAAATTAATTATTTTGGGACAGTTCTATAACAAGAAAAGTTGGACCAAATCTGTAACAATTTTAAAACTCGGGTCAAAATGTAAATTTATAAACGAGCTGTTAAAATATATAATAGCATATCAAAACATAAAAACCGTAAATTCGTTACATTTTTATATACTAATAAATCAGGTTTATTATAAACGTATTTATTTCATAAAACTAATGATAACCCTTTGTTAAACAATAACTAGGTGTAGCCAAGTTTTGTTAAGCTGTGTTTTGTTTTTTCATAAAACTAATGATAACCCTCTGTTAAACGTATTTATTCCATTATGAAATTATGTGTTTTGTTATCTTCCCAACCTAAAATGACAATGGTGTTGGAGACTAATTGACTTATAGCATTTTCAAAAAAATTAATAAATTAAAACAATGCTTGGCAATTTAATAGACACTTTTGAAAATAGAATTTTAATACTCTCAAAAGTCTTTTTTTTTTTTTTTAAATTCAAAATTTCATGATTTTTTAAAACATTTTATAATAGCTTATTGGATAAAAAAACAATAATACCACAAAATCTATCTACCTTTTTGGTTATTTACTCATTTTACTAATATATAAAATACTAAATAGGCTTAAATAGGTGAACGAGTTCTTTTTGGTTATTGACATATATAATCAAATACATAAAAAATATTTTACCAACTTATAACTTCATGATAACCAAGGTTTTGAAAACTAGACCAAAAATCAAACCGATCGTTTTACTGGTACGATGGTTCAACCGGTCCAACCCGTCGGTTCGGCTTCAAAAACCGAAAAAATCGGATGATGTCATAATTATATTATTATTAATTTCAATTATATAAAATTACAAAAAAAAAAATGAATATATATATATATATATATATATATATATATATAATCCACATTTTTGACCGGACGAGTTTTTACTGGTTTACAAGAGGAACGGTTTTTTGGTTTTTATGAACCGCATCCGAGACCAGTTCTCAATTAAACCGGTTGGATCGACTGCTCCGTTCCGATTTTCAAAACATAGATGATAATACATAAGTTAACCCAAACACTTTTTAGAAATATTTTTTATCACGGCATAAGTGTTTATTGAGTTAAATAAGTAATCTCAAATACCCAATTAACTCATAAAAGTTCATCTAAACACTTTTTTTATCACCATTTCAACTAATAAACAGTTTTATCAAAAATATTTAATGATTTAGTGCATCAAATTTTTGGACTAGAAAGTTATTTAATTAAGTTAATGTATCATATTATATATATATATATATATATATATATATATATATATATATATATTAATTACCAAAATAGTTATGTGAGGCAATTCACTATTCATTCCAGCGTAAGCATAGTCATTTTTAAGTTTTCATGCATTTACTTTTATTTTTTTTTATATTTTGTACCCTGAACTAATTTTGATATAATAATTTTTATCCTTATAGTTTTAAAATTTATATATATTTATATTCTTTCTCCTAAATTAATTTTTATTTAGCAGTTTTCACAAATTATAATTTTATAGTTAAATTATTAGTATTTTATACATTATAATATCAATTGTTTGTATTCATATTTTATTTTGATATTTTTGTGTTCCACTTGACATGATTTAATTATCTCAATGGTATATATGGTGTCAAACTACATTTTTTAACATACCGGATCTTCCGCAGCAACGTGCGGATGGTCTAAACCCTAGTTACAATTAATTTCTAACATTTTTATCAAAAAATTATATATTTCTTATTTATAAAATATTTTTCGTTACAAGAATCTTTAATAGAAAATTTTGTTAATAGATTCCAAGAGGTTGTCCCTTTGAATGCGGGTAATGTACTCGGATCTGAGACTCGAGCGCCGATATCAAAATGGGAGGCAATCATTCGAAAATATCTCAATAAATCAAGAGAACCTGAAGTCATACCCAAAAGCTATAGTGCTCCGACATCTCCTGTTAATGAGATCAAAAGCAATGCGGATTCCTCGTCAACAGAAATAACAGATCCCAACAAGAAAGTGCTCACTTCAATGATCGGGTTAACCGGATTTTACGGCCTCGATTGGCCCGAATATTCATTGGATATAAAACATGATATTTGTGTTTCTGGTAAAAAATTGCGTAGAATGCTAAGTAGCTCTGATCGAGTTCGTAATGACTGGTTCACACATGAAGGTAATTAACCATTTGGTATTCGAAAGTTTTAAACAACCATATCATTTGAATTCTATTCTTAAATTACAGAGTGATCCTAATGTTTTCTAACACTAAATTCTATTCCAACTACTAGCTCAGCACAACTAACTAAAGACTAGTATTGTCATTTAACAGGTAGCAATTTTGGTCCGCGAGGTCGTGTGGTTGATCTTGGAGGTTTGAGAAGGGTGCGTCATAGCTCGAGTGACCTGGGCTTGTTATGGATGGAGCAACAAGAAAGGGCTGATTTCGTTCATTCTCTTTATGAAAGAGTGTTGGAAGAAAATGGTAACTCTTTTATAGAAGGAATGGAAACTGAACACGAGATACCATCGATAAAAAGTAGCGGAAATTTTCGTAGGTATGTTTCTCAACATTCTAGGAAAAATGTAGAATTATAGAAAATTCCATGTATTTTTACAACTTTGTCAATATAGATTCCTAAATATTTTATAATTAATAAATAAATCATTAAACTTTTTTTTGACTGGTTACGAAAAAAAATCATTACCTAATCTTAATATCAAAGTAAAAGTATTGAAAAGGATAACATACTTTTACACTTTTACCGTGTTATTGATTTATCCTGTTACCATCTACAGATTTAGCCACAAATTGATTACTTTTCATTACTTTATCTTACTCATCTCTTATCAAAATAGCGACAATTAAAGAAACTAATAGCATAGTGGCCAAAACAAGAAATGTTGGGAATACATGCTTTTCTGTATTTTCCTTTTTTCTCAAAACTTATTAACATAGAATAATGGTCACTTTAAAAACGATTATACATAACATAGTTAAATTTTTAAGTTGATAAAACAATAAATATACAATTGCTTCACTATGTTTCCCAATATTTTATCCATTTTATAAATCTACCCTAATAAATAAAGATAATTTTATCAAATATCAACTTCTTATTGAATTTAACACGTATTTTTTTCAATTTGTCATTTTTGTATTTTTTTTTTCATTTTTATTCATCTTCCAACTATTAAATGTCACCTCATAATCCTTCTCAATAAATAAAGGTTTTTTTTGCCACATGTCAATCTTTTATAAGTTTTGACACTTATCGTTTTGTTGTATTTTTAAATAAATATTTTTTCCATTTATCATTTTCTCATTTTTTTTATCTTTTTAATTAACACATCATATTTACACATTAATTAATAATTGCCTTAATTGAAAATAACTAACAAATTACAATATTACAACTCATATAGTATTTAATATGTTTCCTTTAAAATTCAAATTTTAAATTTCAAATTTAAATAAACTTTTGTTTAAACCTTCATATTTTTTTTTTATCCAATCCGTATAACATACGGGTCTCACAACTAGTAATTAATATAAATTAATGTATATAATATACTTTCCATTTGTGAATTTTTATTTCTATTAATATACTAATGAATCCTATTTATGAATTTATATTTAATTAGTTTTATTATTATATAGATTAATTAAGACAAATTACATAAATGGTCCTTGTAGTTTAATTTATTTATTGTTTTTATTTCGAAAGTTTACTTCAAAAAATACTTAATTTTTTACACGTTAATATTCAACATGATTATTTAAAACATGATAATAATTTTTTATTAGTATAGACTAAATTATTCATCATTTCATTTATATTTATTCTAAAATTTTATTTTAGAAAATACTTAATGTCTATACCTTAAATTTTAATTTTTTTTAATCAACCCGTGTAATACACGGGTCACACACCTACCATAATAACAAATTTCATACTGAAATTACAACTTAGTATAGGAAATAAATAATTTAGTACTAGAGTCATCAATATAAACTATGTTCAATACAAATCCGTTTGTAATATGAAAACTTCAATTAAATAGTAACACTCCATTGTATGAATATGACAACAAATTTCATATATTAAAATTACAACTTAGCATAAAAAAATAAATAATCTTGTACTAGAGCGATCAATTTAAACTAGTTTTGATACAAATCTGTTTGTAATATGAAAACTTCAATTAAATACTAACACTCGAACCAAATATACATGCTTTGTATTAGGTATGTGCGAATCATGAGTAAGCAGATGGTAGGGATATACCTTTCGGTTTGGGTTCGAAAAAGGTTGAGAAGACATATCAAGAACATAATAGTAACACCCATTGGCATAGGGCTTATGGGGTATATGGGTAATAAGGTAATTTCCTACATGTTGTTGCATCAACCTAGAATACTTCCATTAATTTGTTTATTATATTACCCTTGTTTCATTATAGTTTGAAAAAGAATCCATCAAATTATAGAAATATTAGCCAAACACCAAGGAATTTTCAATATTATAATTAGGTAGTTTTGTCAACGTATATTCATTTCCTTCTCATACAATACTGTAATCCAACAAATCTACCAAACTATACCACTGTTATTTAAATGCAAATCAATTTTTATGTTTGCAATAACTTATTAGATTTTTTACAGAATTTCATTTATATCTTTGTAAACTTCTATATGTAAAATTTTATATTTCATGTTTGCCCTTATAAAACCTATAAAATCACACACACAGACACACTCATATATATATATATATATATATATATATATATATATATATATATATATATATATTCAAATAGTAAATTTAATCATATTTAATATAATATAAATAAAAACACTATCTTTAAATTGTTTTTTTATTATTAAAAAATATAATTAACAAGTAATATTACAATATTACCCTTCTTTTACATTGTTATTCTCAACCTATTATTTTATGAATCATTAATAAATATCAAAAAAAAAAATTGTCATTTACTTGTGTAATTATAACTAAAGAACTAAAAGAATAACAAAAAATTTTAGAAGAAAACAATTGCTGGTCTTATGAATGGATTGTATGATACTACTATATTGTTTAGATTTCAATTAAGAATATGCAATCAATGAGTTTTGTTAATTGATTATGTAAAATAATCAATGAGTTTTGTTAATTGATTATGTAAAATATGAAACGGAAAACAATCATAACCATATTATGAATAACTAGATCGATTATGATAGAGATTATAAATATGAATTTTAGAAATTGAGTTCTATTTTAAATTAAAGATATTTTAAAATTATTAAATATATTAATTATCATTCAATTAAGTGTATGTATGTGTGTGTGTGTGTGTATATATATATATATATATATATATATATATGTGTGTGACATCCCCAAAATCACGGTCAGAAAAGACCGATTTTGTTTATGCTTTATGAAAATCAGAGTACTTCATTTTATAAAAAGGTTGCGGAATTTGTTCCCAGAAAAACACGATAAATACGTTATTAAAACATTTTCGAAGAAACGTATTTTTATTCATCTTAAAACGTTTGGGATGTCATCGTTAATACGGAAACATAAGCATAAACAGAACTTACAATTATTTACACTAGTGATCTACATCTCTTTAAATCTCTCAGTGTAATGTCACTTCATATCGCCACCTGTGATGTAAATAAACTGAGTGGGTCAGGTTGGGAAACCTGGTGAGTACATAGGGTTTTCAACCCACAATAATATAATTGTTATGTTCAATCAGCAAACAATTAACCCAATTACCCATCCCCGTTATCTTCTTTACTCCTAAGAGTCATCTATCCTGCATTCGTTTATTCCAGAGTCCCTTACTTCCAGGGTTATAGGACTGGCACTAAATCCATAGCTGTCGATGTTCGTTCATAAAGCACTAATTCCATAGCTGCTATAGTCTATTCATCGGGTACTAAATCCATAGCTACCAGTCTTTATCTAATAGGTACTAAGTCCATAGCTACCAATGTTCAACAGGTACTAAGTCCATAGCTACCAATTCCTACAGGTACTAAATCCTTAGCTACCAGCGTCTAACTAATAGGTACTAAGTCCATAGCTACCAATTCCCAACAGGTACTAAATCCATAGCTACCAACATCTAACAGGTACTAAGTCCATAGCTACCGGTGTTTGTCCCATAGATACTAAGTCTATAGCTGCCAATGTATACTCACGTCATCTTCTATCTCTCATCATTCATCTACCCATCATCATACCCAACATATTCGTATATATAAAATACGTATACAGTTTAAATCCTTTAAAACATGTATAAAACGTTCATCCAGCATAGACAGCAAGTATTCAGATAATATGCACACATAGCACGTAGTTTATATAAAATACTTCATATCTATGTGTAAGATGAAAGGGACTATGCACTCACCTCATAGGCGGTGACTCAACACTCGGACAGCGCTTCGATACTCTCAAAGCAAATTCCTTCGATAAAACCTAGTACCAATACCACTAGGGTTTAGTCTAACGATAACCGTGACTAATTAATAGTCTAGCTATTATTATTATATAAGCGTTAAATAACACTCAATATAACTCATAATAATAGCCCAAATAATTATTTTCAGGTCCTAATAATGTTACTATAATTAATTAGAAGCTATATTAAAACTAGCGTAGGCGTAGCTCACTTACAGCGGGTTTTTCGCAAAACCGGGCTTTGCTGGAGCAGCGTTTCCCGAGCCGAAAGGCTCTTTTCTCGGAGCCATCAGGCGCTCTGGGGCTTCCGCCTCGTGCTAGGGAGTTACCCTAGGCTTTAGGGGGTTAGGGAGGCTTAGAGAGAGAGTTTAGAGAGAGAAAGAAGGGTTTGAAGGTGTGAGAATGAATGGAACCCGGCACCTCTATTTATAGGGGTGCTGACTGGTCTACTCGCCAAGTAGGGGGGACCTACTCGCCGAGTTGGTCCATGTGGTGGCCTTCTGGTGGTGCCACGTGTCCAATTCTGGTGGTGCCACGTCACCCCCTATCGCGTATCAGCCCTCAAACTTAGAAAAATCATAACTTTCGCATACGAGCTCCGTTTTCGACGTTCTTTATATCGTAAAATCAAGATCTACAACTTTCGTTTAGACTCTGTCGGCTAATTCTTGACCGATCTCAAATTTAACAGTAGGAGGCGTTTAGACTGTTAAATGACCGCGAAGAGTTCATAACTCCTTCATACGGACTCCGTTTCCGTCTGTCTTTTTATCGTTGAGTTCCTATGAATGAGATCTTCAACTCTCATTTAGGTCGCGTAATCCAAAAACCGCTCGAACTAAAATTCGAGTTTCGGATTGTACACTGCTAAGCTGAATCTTAGAAAAATCATAACTTCCTCATACGAAGTCAGATTTGGGCGTTCTTTTTATCGACGCTCTTAGTTTAACATATTCTACGAATTTCATTTAGATCACTAAGGCTAAAAAGTCCTCCATCGTAAATTCACTATTTACGCTTCCCGGTGCCGTGCCGGTTCCGTCGCGAAACTTCGACGGGCCATAACTTCTTCGTTATAACTCGGATTTCGGCGTTCTTTATATGTACGGAAACCTCGTGACATATTCTACAACTTGGTTAAGATTATTTATTCTAAATAATCTTTTGTCGAAAATTTATTTTTGACCCCTATTGCCTCTAAATTGACTAGCCTGGATCTGTGTGTGTGTGTGTGCGTGTGTGTGTGAATTTATAGCTTTTATAAGGATATAAATGTAATTTAAAGTTTTACAAGGATATAGATGTGATTAGGAAAGTTTATATGGATATAGATAATATTTTCTCAAAAAAATTTAAAATATAATTTCCTTACAGTTGAAACTATAATATTATAATTTGGTTGATTTTTCAAATTAGAATACTTTGAAACTATAATATTATAATACGGTTGATTTTTCAAATTAGAATACTTTGAGTAGAAAATAGTAAACGTATAGTGGGTAGTTTTTTTTAAAAGCACAAAGTTTTTTCATTGGCTAACACACATAGTTCCTTAATAAGAAAAAAAAAAACAAAATGCAATGTTATAATCCCAAAAAATGAAAATAGGATACCATGATACATAAATAAATGAAAACTAATTTGTATCTCTTACATCTAGCCCTCTTCATATGCAAAAGGACAATAACTAAAAGTATTTGTTTCAGGGATCTATTTCCGTTAGCATGTCTCTTTATCAAACACAAATATGTTTCGTTTGTTCTCATTTGACATCGGGACACAAGGATGGGGATGAAACGAGGCGCAACTCTGATGTCATTGAGATCTTGAGACGAACTCGCTTCACGTCGGCGTTAGATCCTGACCAATATCAAACAATTCCATCTCATGAGTAAGGCCTTGTTTCTGTTTTCATTTGTTTCATAAAATATTCATGTTGTCCAAATAAATGATGGTTTAAAAAGAATTTTAGAAAATTATATAGATAGAATAAAACAACGAGTGCAGATTTGTAGAAATTTCAAACTTAACGGAGAAAGCCTAATGTCTCTTTCTTTTTCTATTAATTCGTTCAATATACATTAAGTAAAATAAAAACACCCATTTATAACTCACTACATTAAGTTTTGTCTCCATTAAACAGTCAGATATTTTGGTTTGGCGATCTGAATTATCGTATCAATATGGCGGATGTAGACGTTAGAAAACTAGTTGTCTTGAAGAAGTGGGATAAACTACTCTATAAGGATCAAGTAAACATCTACACCATATTCATGATTACTTTATTACAAAGTTCAACATATATGGAATGCATAAATTCTTGTCATGCATTATAATGTGATTGGATAAAAATTCAAATCTTTTGTCTCAACTAAACATGGGGCACAAAAGCCATCCCTATTTTTTGAAAAGACATGAATGTCTTATCATCATAATAATTGATCCAAAATAGTTATAGTTTAACATTATGGCAGCTATGTAATGAACTTGGAAGTGGGCGTGTCTTCGATGGATGGAAGGAGGGCGATATCAAATTCCCACCCACTTACAAGTACGAAATCAATTCGGATCGCTATGTAGGTGAAAGTCCAAAAGAAGGGGAGAAAAGAAGGACACCAGCATGGTATGTCATATGTGAATGTTTTGACTTTTATGGTCAAATAATATACTATTTTAACGCCAAATTTATCTCATGTTATGCAAAAGTTAAGAAAATTTTAGGTAATCCTTATACGCCCTTTCTAACGCTACAAAGTGTAACGGTTTGTGGTCAATCCACGTTAACCTTTTTAAAGTAAAAGTTCAATTTTAATTATGTTAATACATTCCATGTATTTCTAAAATGCAAATGGGAATTTCATTGGTCTTCTAATACTCAAATATTAAAATACCTGAATATATTTATTTTGAAATAATAAATCAATTATACGTAATTACAATAACCAAAAAAGTTTAATATAAAATAAATTTTAAAATGATTTAGTTTTTATTATTAAGGTTCAACTAGTTTCCTCACAACAATGTCTCACGGTTTATGATTTATTAATATTCCAATTTACATTTCTTAAAAGAAATATATTTTATAAACCAAATGTCCTTACATTTCAAAGTGTATATAAATTTTGTATGTAAAACTTAATGAATCTTATGGTTAAAATGCAGGTGTGATCGTATTTTATGGTTGGGAAAAGGCATAAAACAAGTTAGTTACAGTAGTGTGGATTTACGAATGTCTGATCATCAACCTGTCAGATCGGTTTTTTCGATTGAGGTTGAAGTCTTTGATCCTAGAAAGCTTCGTCAAGCTCTTAATTTGACTAGAACAGCCATTCTTCCGGATATAATCACGGATGACGAACATGAATTGCAATTATAGAAAAGAGGTTTAAGTTCAAAAATTCTAGTTCATTGATGAGATTAGTATTAATATCGGGTTTACATAATTATTAGTGTGAATGTGGATCTAAGCTCAACGGGTACATTTATTTGTTATTGACCAAGCATCCATTGACAAATAACTTGTCAATTTATTCAAATTTCTACAAAAATCTTGACATTAAAGTTAAAATATATATATTAATCAGCATATTCTCTAGAAATGGTAAAATTTTGGAATTTTACAATTCGCATTATGTGAGTTGTAGATTGAACTCCTTGTGAGAAATAGGCTTCATGCAACTGATGGGTTTTGGTCATAAGACATCCTATGTGCTTATACAAACCCTAATGCTCGGATCTAAGTTTCTCTATTGTACATGCAAGTTATCCAAGACTATAAACCCTAATTCTAGCATTCAAGTAATCATATTAACATACGAATAAGTTTATAATGTTACCTTGATTTTTATGTAGCAATAACAATCCTAAATCTCCTTGTATTGACTTTGGAAGGCTTAGAGTCACAAGTGTCACTCCTCTAATGGCTTACAAACACCATAAGCAAGTGGAGAAGGTATAAAGAGAGAGGAGAGAGGTTAGAATTCGTCCTTAGGACTCCTTGGGAAGGGATACACGAATTCATGAGCCTTAGGGTCTTTATATAGGTGTAGAGATAGGGTTTCAGTCATTATCCTTATCTAGTTGCTTATCCACAAAGCAACCCATAAGATAATCCTTGAATCCTTATCATAGTCGAATTCTAAGGCCTTATCACCTTAAATTCGTTCACCCTAATAATAAGATAATCCTTACCTTATTTTGTAACTATCACATAATTAAAAATCAGCCCCTCTAGTTTAATTAATCACACTTGATCACAAAATTAATTTCTAATTAATTATTGACCAATATTAATTAAACAAATATGATTTCTCCTTTAATATATTATTCTTATAACATATTAATAAATCATAATAACCTCTCTCTCTTTATTTATTTCTCCAATCAAGTTGCTTTGGTGAAGGCAACCAAAAGGACCATGCACCATCGGGTCAAGTACATACCAAAATAGTTATGGACTTAGACACTAATCCAACAGTCTCCCACTTGGATAAGTCTAATAACTATTATGCGTATGACTTCAGATCCTGATCTGCAATCGTAGCTTTCCAAAGCCGCTGTCAACTCTGATCCTATCAGATACGCGTGTCCTTAGATAAGGGATCATATATTCCTCCATTCTAGATATCGTATGAGATATGATTTTTAATCATTCTCTTTGTACTACTTCTCGATTTCTGATTTATGACGACAGACTAATTGAACAAATCAAATTAGCCCTAGCCCGGCCGAGCATTTACGTTTGTCATCACTAAACCATCGAGGGGCCCAAAGATATCGCTTTTATTCTTTGAATAAAAGGAACGGATAAACTTTGATACAATGCTTGCTTGCACTCACTAACCAAATCACACACAACAATATGTTTTATAACACCAAGTTACTAGTGCGTTTACATATTATCAATGTGCAACCGATTAGCAAGATACAACTCACACATCTCGGTTTCAAGAATATAAGATGTTATCGTCTCACCAATCACTCGTGATACAATTCATGGAGTGATCCAAGTGAGCGTGGGTTTAATCCAATGCTCAAATCATATTCATAAGCACTCATGAACGTTGCAGCAAACATTTGCTTATGTCTAATACTCTTTAGACAATCCACACACCAATTCACGACAGTCTTCATTCATATCTACTTCCAACATATGAACGACTGTGGCCCGTTCGAATAATTCGATTATTCTTAATAAACTCAATTATTCTGGAAGTCAAAACATGCAAAGTGAAACACAAGAATAATACTAATCCCATATGGCCTCAAACCTTTGAGTATAAATAAAACCTTTTATTTATCACCATATGATTACTCATTATTTGTCGTTTCGGGTAATCAACTTCTTACTTGAATTAACACTTGTCCCATGCTCCTAGCATGCACACAATGTTTACCTATGGTTCTTACTTTTGTGAAATAGACAAATTGAACACATTTCCAATCATTCTCATTTTACAACTCCAAATCCTTTTTCATAAGTGTAAGAATATCAAATTCTTGCTACTTATAGAATATGCTAGATTCTAACACTTTATGCAACGATCCTTTCGTAATGTCACTGCACCAAAGTCACAAAGACTATTGCCAATGATGTTACAAAATCTTCTATCAGAGATTGTTACAAGACAATTCCTTAGATATTATGTCTCTCACTCAAAGTACATTCCTTTGAACATCCTTTTGCATAAAAGTCTAGTCATAGATTTTCAATATTTACTTCCCAATCTGGACACGCTTCCATATTTTCCATATGACAACTTATTCTTAATAGAATCTTATCTATTCATAATAATGTCAATATGGTCCATCCAATACCATGCTTCCAACTACTCACAAGCAACCAATCCTCGTCGAACTTTGGATTGTCCTTTGATAGTTGTTTAATTATTTTAGTCAAAACCAATTCTAGTCCCTTTTCCCTCTAAATGCGCTAGACATTTGGAAAATTTTAGAATGGTCAAACATTAAAGCATTTGCAATCGATCCTATACCCGAAGCGTATGGGACACGACGCATAATGTTTTATTTGCTATGTTCTCAAAATTCGAATTGTGAAGAGGAATGCCGTAATCATAATCGAAATTTTAAGAACACACTATGTACCTTTGACTAAATTTATTAACTTTCACAACCTAATCCTTTAGATTTGAAATGAAGCATAATATTCTCTCCCTTAATTATAGCAAAACAACTTTACAACCCTTACGACTTTGCAAGGTATAACTCTTGTTTTCTATAATTAATATTGCCAACTTGCAATACTTTCCTTAATAATCATACAATCATAACATTTATGCTCCCACTATCATGATGATTATATAAAACATAACACTTATGCTCCCACTAGCTTCGACATGTATTCATAAACATCTTAACTTTCAGAAAACAATACCTATTGAATTTCTTAAGTCCATGTTTCTAATACTTATGCTTTGATAATCTTTTATCAAGGCTTCTTGAACTTATACACCTTTGCCTTAGATAGTTCATATGTGTGTCTAACAATTAAGACTAATTGCCAAACCTCACAATTCAAATTATGGAAAGGGATACCGTAACCATAATCGAATTCGAGAATGCAATTTTACAATCACTATCTTCTTAAAATCTTTCTTAGTGAAAGCATTTCCTCACAATCATTTTCATGAAGGAGGAAATCTTATGACACTTAGATTTAAATGGTGTATGTGTTCCTATCCATGTGAATTTGTTAAAACCAAAGTTTACGACAAATTCAAACTCATATGGACCGAACTTTCTTAATCTTGATTTCTTGCCTTATGGTAGCACAGCTGCCCACCACGTCTTCCAAGTAGTTAAGCATCTCACCTTTTCCTATCAATGTACCTTTCATTGATTAAGGTGCCTTGCCTTTTATGCGTTCAAAATGAGAACTCATAGGACTCACATGCATAATTAACTCAATTGGAACACACAGAATCAAAATATTGTCAACACGATAGGTTGTAAACCTCAACTCGTGTGCTAGTGATGATCGATAAGGTTTATTTGATTTGTTCTTGAAACCTTTCAAGACCATTAAGACTCCCACTGACTCCTTGACATATAAGATTCTCTTGTCAATAAACATTTCTTGACAAACAAATATTCAAGAGTTAGTGTAGTTTTTATCAAAACACTTCATAAATTGGTCCTAGTGGTCTTTGTCTTATCAAGACATCACAACTTTCCACATTTGATGAATGTTATAAACCTTTAATACTTTTCACTCATTGTCACAATCTTAACTTTAAGACTTGTTATTGGAACGAAGTATGATAGACTTCTTGATTTAACCATTTCTTCAATCTTGATTCCTCTTCTTAAACATACAATTGTACTAAGACTCACTTAGAGGATCAATTGAGATATGGTTCTTAATCATTAAGACCTATCATAAAGCATAAAAGCTACTCTCCCTTCTTCTTAGAATGGAGAAACTTTTATCTTTCTGCCTACTTGATTCTTCTTATTCGTTCTACTATTGATCTAAACCCTTTAATCAATTCAGAATT